GCAGGTACGGGCAGGTACACTGGTGGCTGACTGGTCCTTTGTCCCTAGTGGACTCAGCTTATATCCCTGCATTAATAAAGCTTTCCCCCCAACTGTATCAGCTAAGATTAAGCTCAACTACATAGTAAAGACAATCCTAAAAGAGAAGTTCATTTCCCTCTCAGCTAAAGGAAGCCTGGGTGGGGGTGGCCAAGAGCTGCACAGAGGCATCAGGGACCCAGGCTCCTTCCTGGTCAAGGATCTGCCACCCCTAATGTATGAGTCATCCTTATGGCTCAGGATGGCTGCTGGAGTTCCAGCCATCACATTCATTTCCCAGGAAGCAGGTTGGAATATACCTGCTTTCCTTTCAAAGAGCTGCCTTGGAAATCCCACATGCCACATCATGTCATTGGCCACAACTTAGTCATGGCCATGCCAAGCTGCCAGGTTCTGTAGCTGCAGGCAAAGGGGAAAATGGGTATTGAGAGAGAGCTAGCAACGTAGACACACTGTCCAAAACCCTCTTAACCCAGAGGAGTATAGGTGCTGGGAGTTAAAGTAATGATAGTCCTTGCACAAAATACCTAAACACTTTGCGGTCAAGTTTCTTATGCCCTACTTGGACAGGCCGACTCCTCCGCAGCTGATTAGGCCCCGAGGCCGGACAGGACTGCGCAGGCTGCAGGAGCACAGGGGAGAGAGCAGTTAACGCCACTTGCTGCAAAACCTCCTGCCCAAGCTGGCCCTGAGCTGCGTTGGCCATGAGGGATGGGGAGGGGTTTATGCGGACAGAAGAAGGCGAAAGGGAACCCCAGTCTGGGGAGCAGCCCAGCAGAGGCAGAGAGCGAGTGGGTCTGCTTCTGGGTCTGGGGAAGGACCCAGGCTGCTGGAGACAGGCAGCCTGTTCCCAGTGCTCCCCACCCCCACCCCCAGTGATGCCGGGGTTTGAGGAGGGACTCGACTTGAAAGGTCTCTGGGGGTCTGAGCTCCCCTAGTCCTGTGGATTTGACCAAGCATGGAAAGATAAGAAGCAGAGATTATTGTCTGAAATGCCCACGAGGCCAGGCTAGGAGGAGGGGAGGAACCAGCTGTGCTCAGCCCCCTCCAGCTGCTGTCCCATGGGAATGGGGCTCGGGAATGCCGGATCTCTTCATTCTTTAAGAAGCCGGAAATCCAGATTTATGAATCCCGTCTCCCAATGTGTAAATGGTGGTACCACAACAGACAAACATAAACGTGATGTGAGCAAAGCAAAACCCGCTGCAAACCCAGGGCCTCTGTCGGATCCTGAATCACACGGTGACCTGGTTCTCGGCGGGGAGAGCCCAAAGACTCAGACCCCCATAGAGGAGAAGGGGGCTTGTCCAAGGTGTCCATGCCAGTGTGGGCAGAGCTTGGATCGAACCTGGTGTTCTGACTCCAGGCCCAGTGCTCGTCTATCAGTGGGCCTGAAATAGAAGACCGGCCTATTTGTGGTATTGCTGTGCTTGACAGATGCCAGAGAGTCGCTCATTAGCTCATCTTCCCAAAATAACGGACAGAACAAGGCCAGAGGGCAACGGGAGGACCCCAGGCCGCCCCGCAAAGCCCAGGACTCCTGGAAAGCGTGGGATGCGTTTTGCCGCTGGCGAGGGTCCACCTGCTTCGCAGCGCCTGCCCGGCCCAGCCCTGGGGGCGCGGCTGCGTCTCAGGGAGACGTCCCAGGAGCTCGAGTCCGCCCCGCTCCCCGGCAGCTCATGTTCCTTCCTTCATCCTCCCTCGTTTCCCAGTTTAAAATAACGTTCATATTAATAGCAGGAGTCCTGGAAAATTCAGGCAAGCACGACAAATAAAACTCCCCACGGTAAAACCCCTCGTGCTCTCGCTGCGTCAGCTTCAGTCCCTCCCGTCCGGCTCTGTGCTCTGGAGGAGGGGGAGGCGCCACAGCGGGAGCACATGGGACTCGCTTTGCCCAACCTTTGTCCGTTACTGCGTCCTGAGCGTTTCCATCCCAGCGTCGCCGTGGGCACCAGCGGATCCGTCATCTAGAGTACTGGAGCTCACGCGGCCTTTCCCTAGTCCCTGGACGTACCCGTTGTCTTCAGGTCCCTGGTCTCCACGCCAGTGCTCTGAGCGTCCTCGTACTTCCACACGTGCATGCACCAAAGGGGTGCATGCCTCGGTTCCCAGACGTGGAATCGGTCAGGTGGTAGGAAAGTTCAGGCGGCCTTCGCTGCCCACATCACAGGCTGTGCTTGAGGCAGGGAGGCCCAAGAATCATCTGCTGGAGAGGATTTCGGGGAGGCCCGTGGGCATGCGCACCCCCCCACACACTATCTCCGGCTCGTCTGTGCGTCTGCAAGCACTTGGCAGCCCGTGCGTGTTTGACTTATGCCCAGAAAGCCTCCAACGCCTCGGCCGGAGCTAGTTCACCAAGGACAGCCTCACTGGGATGAGGCAAGAACCAGAGGACAGGGCGCCCGGCCACGGTGCTCATCCGAAATTCTCCCCAGCGCCCTCCTGGCTCTCTGTTGTGTCAAACCGACTCTCAGAGCACTTGGCACCTGGATTTCAGGAAAGCCCCTTGAAATTTCAGGGGGGGGTGGCCTGGGCACCCAGCAAAAAAAAAAAAGACAACTGCCTTTCTGTGTCCCAGCACCACTGTGGAGGGGAGAGAGTGGAAAGGAGGGCAGTGGGATTCCCAGCAGCAGCAGGGGAAGGAAAGGTGGGTTCGTTCCTCTGCTCGGCCAGACCCTGCAAGCGGGCGGCAGCAGAGGCTGGTGATTGTGTCTTCTGCTCAACTCTCGGTGCGTGCAAATTCCGTTGCCGGTCTATGGTTTGACCGCACCCCATCCCCAAATGAAAGAACTTTAGAACTCCTGAGTGCAGCGTCAGCATCTCATCTGCTGCCCCAGGTGTTTTTCCATAATAAACCGGAGCTTTACAGAGAGCCAGAGAGAAGACTGTGTCTTCAGAGAAAAGGGTGCGTGACCGCCTTGGGGACAGCCGGGCTGTTCGTCCATGCGGGCTGGAGTCGTTGCCGTTGGCGAGGGCATGCAAGGCTTGGTCCCGGCCCTGGCACGGCACCCCCCGACCCCCTGTGCGTGGCTGATAAACAGGCAGCTTGGGGAAAAGCCACCTTGACGTTGTGATTTGTTAAGGGGTAATTCATTTTCAAGGCAAGTAAATGGCTTGTAAACTTGGGGGTTTACCGCTTTAAGTGATTAAGAAGTGAGCAGCTATAAAACTGGTTGTATGAGGCTGTGCAGATTGTCCCCAAGGAATCTTCCTGACCAGTGTTTGGATTTGCCGGATGTTTGCCACAGTTCATCTGAGTGCCCCGCCCCCGCCCCCGCACACACAATATATCACACAGTGCCTCTTCCGGAGAACTCCAGGGGTGTGGAGCCTGCCGTCCCCTGCGCAGGCAGCCCTCTGCGCAGGGCAGGGCGGGAAGTACCCTCTGCGAAAGAGACGACCCGCCGCGCTTGGCCAGCCACCTGGTCCCTTTGGCAACTACCTGCTCGGCTCAGCCGCTGGGTGAAGGCTGCCACAGTGTGTGCACGCAAAGGGCCATGCCGTGTCCAGTAACACTCTACTCCCCAGACAGGCAGCAGCCGCAGTCTGCCGACCCCTGCCCCGTACCCCGCTGCCTTCCTGAGTTCAGAGAAAGGCGAGGTCAGGGCCAGAGGACCTTCTGGAAGAAGTGTCAGCGGGGACTGGACTATGCAAGGTTCAGGCAGCGCAGGTGGCATGAATGAGGTCTGGCTGCGGCGCACACTCACTCGGGGCGTGGCAGGGCTTGGGGTAATGGCCAGGAGGACCAGGGTCCCCTCTCTCGGCTGGAAGAATGACTTGCCCCTCCTGAATCGCAAGACAATAAGCAGGGTGATTCACAGAGCACTTTCGCTGAGGCTCCTGCCCAGGTCCTACAGGGGTGGGGAGCCTGCGGCCTTCTAGATCCTTACGTGTGGCTTTTGACTGAATCTAAATTTCATAGGTGTTTTATGGATTCAGTCAAAAGGGTGCACTTAACGATCTAGAAGGCTGCAGGCTCTGCACCCCCTGAGACCATGGTCTGCAGGGAAGCACACACCCGCCAGCAGAGGGGCTGTGGGCTGGGCACGGGGGCTTAGAGGTACCGTAAATAACACGTCTCCTGAGCTCTCGGCACGTGCCGTGCCCTGTGCTGGGCTTGATGAAAGTTCTCTCCTTTTTATTTGCACAGCGGTGAGGTCACGAGAGTAGGTAATTACACCCAGGTCGTGGCTGGGAAACAGAGTCAGAGAAACACGACAGCTGTCACGTGTCTGGGGTGTCCATGTGAGAAGCAGGGCTTCGCCCAGGCCCCAGCGTCTCCAGGGTGTGGGGCTCGCCCACCCCACGCTGGCCTGGCTGCAGTCCTGCCTCCGGGTCCTGGTGCTGCTCGGAGGGCTGGTGGAAGCCCTGCCGTCAGCCACTCCGCAGCAGAGCTTTCGTTGCCCCTGAACCTGACCCCCCGGGAGCCACAAGGGCAGAGCGGGTTCTCTGGCAGGGAGACTCCCAGGGCACTCCTCTCCCGCCAGGGCGTGACTTCGGAGCCTGCGCTGGGTGCCTGTCCTGTGTTCCTCTGGCGGAGCGCGGGCACGTCAGCAGAGGCCTGGGCTTCTGCACAAGGGTGTCGGCATCCCTGCGCAAACTGCCGGGGGCCTTGGACTCCAAGGCCACGTGTCCCCTTTGAGAGCACAGCTGGCGCACTGCCGACCAGAGCCAGGCACCGGCTTGTGCCTCGCAGCCTCCGTGGCTGGTGGCGCCCTTTTCCTTGAAACCGCTTCGGCGTGTGTGCAGGCCAGCCCTCGCCCAGGGGGCCGGCGCGTGCCGGGACAGAGCAAGCCTTGCGCGGAGCTGGGTCGGGGTCGTTTCAAAGGGCCTGGGCATGGAGGCCGGCAGTCCTGCCTGGGAGGCGGGGCTCGCCCCAGTGTCTCGGACGTCTGTGGGGGTGGCAGCCCCTGCTGGGCCACAGCCCCTCGCACTCAGTCACCTGCCACCTTGCCTTGCAGGCTTCGCCGTGGCCCAGTGCATAAACCAGCACAGCTCCCCGACCCTGTCCTCGCAGTCGCCGCCCTCTGCCAGCGGGAGCCCCAGTGACAGCGGGAGCACCAGCCGCTGCGACTCAGGAGCCGCCAGCTCGACCTCCACCCCCTCCGCCGCCCAGAGCCCAGCAGGTACTGGTCACGTGACTCGGTCGGGGAGGGGCAACTGGGGAACCCCGGGAACCCTCACAGCCACTGCCGCCCAGGCGTGTTCTGCGTGCCTCTAGCATGAGCTGCCCACGGGCCGGGCCAGCTCCCGCCGGGGAGGGCTCCTTTCTCGTGCCGGTCCACTCGAGCCTGTCGCTAACGGCAGAGCTGGCAGGCGGCAGGCGGACCGCGCCTAAACCCACCCCACCGTCACCTCCGCCATCCCGGGCTTCACAGGGAGAGGCCTCCTGAGGCGACGGCTGGCACCCAGGAAGAGAATCGTGTCCCTGCTCATGTTTTTTCTCTCTGTGCCCTGCCGGTCTCCTCCTTACACGTCGGGTGTGGCCCAGTGGTCCGAGCAGTGCCCTTTGCCACCCTTTTGAGAGTTTGGCAGGATGCAATGGAGTTGCATCTTGCCATCCTTTAACTTACGCCACTTCAAACATGGCAGGAGGGAAGCCGCGAGTCAGCCTGGAGCAGGTTGGAACGTGCCCCCAGCCCCTGTTCCTGGCCGCTGTGAGCCCCTTGCACACGGCCCCTCGCTGCACTGCCTGAGACCCGGGCAGGGAAGACACCAGGGAGCGCTGGGGAGATGGAGGGCCCTTGGCCACCATCCCCGCAGCCCTGGGAGCCATGGTCTCCTTGGGTGCCCACACCTCCCTCGGGCGTTTTCAGTTCCTGGCATCCTGGGGCTCAGGGCACCCCAGGCTGCCCACGCCTCCCCGACAGCGAAGTGTCATTATCTGCATCTCCTGCTGACATTCACCAGGCCCAGGCAGGAAGGTCGCCCCTCGCCCCCTCAGTGACAGTGCCCTCCACTCAGCACCTGCCCTCTGCCCAGGCTAGGGGGAGGGGACCGTGCCTTCTGAGCTCTTTCTGACCCCAATTTAAGGTTGGCCGCACCTCAGGCAGCTGCTGCCACTGCTCCCAGGCTCGTAGCCGGGAAGTGCAGGCAGAGCTGCCTCCGGTCGCCAGGCACGGCCCCCAGTGTCCCTCTCCACCCTGTTATGCTTGCTCGGGGAGGCACGCAGGGCGCGTGCTCGTGTGCTCATGTGTACGTCCACCTTCCGCCTGTGTGTGTGCGTCTCTGTATCTGCGTGTGCACCCAAACCTACATATTTACCTTCGCATTTGGGCTAAAAGGCTCCTTCCTGTGGGGGCTGTGGATGCCTTTCTTTGATTTTTAAGAAGGCACAACCTACAGCCAAGTGAACCGTGCTCTTCTTTGCCTAAAGCCAAAACCTGCAAGGACCTACATTATCAGAACCGGGCCTCTGTGCACAGACGCTCACCGAAACGCGACACCCGGGGCTTCAATGCTGGGCCTTCCCCTGGAGGCTGGGGACTGCAGCGTGGACTCCTTTCTTTTTTCTGGCCTCCCTCAGCCCCTCCGTCCCTATCCCCACCGTTCCCTGCACAGTGCAGTGACATATCTCCTCATCTCGGAAATCCAGGGGCTATTAGCCGGGCTGTCAGGTGGCCATGTGGCTGCAGTCAATAAGTGACAGGACCCCCGAGGTGCCCGCTCCCATTCTGCACGTCCCGGCAGGCTGGTGGAGCCGAGTGCATGGGGCCTCATTTTTTATGCCGCATGACAGTAAAAGCCTGAGGCCCAGCCTGCCTGTCCGACTCCGCAGACACGAGATAACTCACCTCCTGATGAAAGGCCCGCCTGGCGGCGGCTCGTGCTCAGCTCTCACGGACGCCTTGGGACGCAGCTATTGATCCTAGAAGGAGAGCGCGTCGGAGCCGTGAGCTCCTCCTGTCTCGCTGCCAGACGTCCAGGCCAGCCTCGGCCTCCCTGTCCATCCAGAACAGAGCACGTGGCATTCCCACGTTCCCCGTGGGGTGGCTCTGACATCTGCCTGGTGTCCTGCCAAGCGGAGGACAGAAGGAAGGCAGCTCCTGTTGGGACGGGAGCCTCTCTGCCAGTTGCCCTGTTTGACATGAGTTTGGAGTGTGGCCCAGGGTTCAGGCTTCTGATCGGGACACCCACCGCGTGCGCCTGCTCACCAGACTTGCCATCCGCCGGGGCCTGGCCACAACCTGCCAGAGACGGCCTCTTCCGAGGGCCAGCCAGGTGGCGGGATGCCTCTCCCCTCTGCCCTAACCACCGCTGCCCTCAGCCTGGACTGCAGAGGACAGCTGCAGCCCCACCAGGGAGCCACTTGTCCTCAAAGTGGTTTTTGAGGGCGCGGTGCTAAGTCAGAAGCATTCCCATCCCTGTGTTTACGGAGCCTCCCAGGGTCCGGGAAGCTCCCATTGTAGAGAGCAGCTGCCAGGCCTTTGAAATGGGAACTGGCCAACTCCAGGGGCTTCTTTGCCGTTGAAGCCACATCCTGCATAGTCAGGTATTAGGTTGGGAAAGTGCACGAGAGACGCCCCCACCAGGTGACCGGGACAGGCCCTATTTTCCATGGTTCTGCTCCACAGTTCTGAAAACTTAAATTGTTCAACGATACTGTTAAAAGCCAGGGCTGACCTTCACACTGTTTTGGCAGTTGGTACGGCCTGGGCACCCTCCAGTCGGCGTGGGCGCCTGCCGCAGCCACTGCACGCAGCCCTCTCCGTGCGCCCCGGCCGAGTGGCATTGCAGCCGACCCTCCTCCTGAAACTGAGCCTGCGTGAGCCAGTGCCATGCCCATTAGCACTTCACAGCCGCCCCCGCATCGAATCCTGCACCTTCCACCTCACATTGCACAGCTGAAAACATAGGCTCAGAAGGGCCGTGTCATTTGTCCCAAGATGATGCCGCCAGCAAGCAGGGGAGCCCAGGTTTGAACCCTAGCCCTGGCAGCTCCAAGGCGCAGGCTCCACCCTCAGAAACATCCAGCAGAACGCCCGACGCGGTTCTTGGATCTGTCTCAGGACGCTCCAAGGGCCGTCCCGGAGAGCTGGGCCTGCTGGAGGCAGCCCGTGAGGTGCATCTCCGTCCCTAACGTGCACAGCTGCTCTAGAGCCACAGGAAAAGCCACAGCCCCACTCCGCAGGGCCTGGTGACACGTACAGCCCCCGTCAGCAGAAGGCCGGGCAGTGCAGCCCTCTGTGGGGGCTGGCCTGGTGGTCCTCTAAAGTCAGCAGCGAAGTGGGGGGCCCCAGACAGCCACGTCTCCTCTGCCAGCCTGTGTGTTCATCTCCAAGCAAGGGAGTGAAACCAAGTGATGCTCGCTCTGTCCGGCTCCGGGGTCTTAGGCTTCCTGCCTGGGTTTGAGAGAGGGCCCTGTCATCCCAGATACAGACGTTCTCAGCTTCCCATGGGGCCTGCAGCCCGGCTCCCCGGATCTAGGCTCAGGCTGCCCCTCTTGGTTCTGTGGACTCGAGACCTGATCGGAGAGGCCCTGCCCAGCCCACGCTGGGCCTCCCCATGCTCTGAGTGGCCTCTCTGCCTGGACCCTACCTCCGGGGTTTGGGAGCCCCGCGCCACTGTGCTGTGTTAATGCTTTCCAGGCAGGTTTGTGTCCAGTCCCTGCTACTCACCGGCTTGAGGGACGAGGGCAGCAGAGCGTGGCACTCACGGGCGAGCTGGGCGGCGTAGGCCGGTCAGACGCCCACGGACATGTGCAGCTACAAACCAGCGCGGGGGCTCCGACAGCCAGCGCGCGCCAGCCCTGGGCGGCTCCAGAGCTCCCAGGAGGTGTCCCTGGAATTGAATGCCGAAGAACGAGGGCTTGGCGGGGCCCGGGGTCGTGAGCAAGGCAGCCCAGGGTCTCACACGAGTCCGCTGAGGCCCAAACCCACTATCTCGTGGGAGACAGTGGATTCCCTTCCCCGCTGCCTGGGGTCTGCCCGTGCAGTCTGCCTGTCTGAGCACAGACCAGGGGCAGGCTGCCTTTGAGAAGCAGTCCCCACGGCCATCAGAGCCAAGGCCTGTGGCCCAGCGCAGGCAAGGGCCCCTCAGCCAGGAGGGGAAGGGGACAGCCCGAGGGGTCCTGCTTTGCAGCCCCCAGAGGCTGCGCTGCGCCGCAGCACCCGTGTCTGAGTCTGCATCGCACGCCAAGGCAGCTGCGGGTGCTCGTGAGGGTCCGTCCCCGGCGCTGGCCGCAGACTGAAGGGAGGGTCACACCAAATCCCCGGTGGCCAGAGAAGCCAGCCAGGGTCTCATGGTCACTGGCAGTTGTTCCCCTGACAAAGCTGAGCCCAAGGGGACTGGAATGGTGGGTTTTAGCCCCAGATGCTCTGGTCTGTTTTCTGCTGCCCTTTAAAGAAGAGCCGTGGGGTGCCCAGGGCTTTGCGGGGAGTGCTAGACCCCTGCACGGCCCAAGTGTCCAGGAGCCAGGCATCCTGTCGCCCACACGTCCCGAGTGGCTGGCCTGATGGGCCCCAGCCCTGTCCCTAGTGAGAAAATTGCAGGGTTGGAATCAGCATTTTTTCCCCTTAAGCATTTTATGGTTTTGAGAAGCTGGAATTGCAAAGAACACGTGGCAGAAAAAGGCAAATAGACCCAGTTTTTGAACCAAAGGGGGGCCAGTAGGAATAGTTTAGAAATATTTTCTAGGGTACGCCTGTGCACCCCACAATGTACGTGCATGTGCCCCACAAGCTTACACCCAGTCACACACATGCATGCACTACAGTTCCGCTCACACCACCACACACACACAGCCACACGCACACACTCTCTGAGTGGGGTTGGGATAGGAAAACCGTCTGCTCAGACCAGAACTCTGTGACTACGCCACGCTCCGTGAACAGCCCACGTTGGTTGGGTCTCCGCGTTGGTTGGGTCTCACGCTCGCTCTGCGTGAGCTGCTGTGAGGAGGGCAGAGCACGTTCAGAGTGGAGGTCAGCCTGCTCTCTTAATGTCCATTTTTGAAGCACGCTGGCCTAGGAGCCGGGGCCACCTTCCCCGAGGTTTCACAGGAGGAGAGAAGGGGCTGGTGGCTGGTGGCTGGTGGTGGCCGCTGTCTCCTCGTCCTCGGCTGCCCCCGTGCCTTTGTCTGCAGGGGCCACCTCACCCCAGCACACCTCCCGTCGGGGCCAGCCGAGAGCCAGACAGCCTGAGAGCCGCCCTCGTGTCACTGCCTCGGCCCCCACAGCCCTGTGAGGACAGAAACCTGAGCAGGAGATGTTGTCTTTTCTCCCCAGCTTTCTCCGTGGCATCATTTTCTTTATTGTGGTAAAATACACGTAACATAAGATTTTACCTTTGCCATTTTTCAGCGTGTAGCCCGTGGCATTTACGTGACCTTGCCGCGGTTTTGCGGCGTCACTGCTGAGCTTTGCCTCCGGGACCATGCTCCTAACGTTTCTGTTTCAGCCAATTAGAACCCGCCGCGTGGCCACCTGCGCCGGGTCACCAGGCCGCCACCTGGAGGGGCAGCCCCGTGGCTGGGGAGGGGCCCGTGGAGAATCCAGAACTCAGGGCGGTCCTGTGGGCTTCGGGGTGTGACACCGAGACCCCTGAGAAGTCTGCGTGGTTCGCTTAGCTGGTTCAGCTCCCGCCCTGCCACCCCGCACCCTGCCCTCCGCAGACTGTCCCGGGGCCTCGGGATTTCGTGCGTGAACTCGGGTCCACGTCTGCGCTGACAGGCAGTTCTGTTCTGTCCCCGAGGTTCCTGACCAAGATGAGCCGTTGCTGACGACCTGCAGTCTTTCCTTTCCAGCAGGACCGCCCTCTCTGCCCTTGACCCTTAGCTACCCCAGCCCTGCCCGTCGTGGGGCCGGGTGGGGCATCTGATCTGCGCGGGGACTGGCGCCCGGTGCCCACGCCGGGCACTGCGCCTCCCTGCGCGTCACCGGTGCCCAGCGTCCGCCGCTGCTCTGTCGCCTGCGCTGTCGTTGTCAAAGGCTTTCTGTGATCTGTCGCTGTGTTTCCCTCTAGTCAGGAGTGGCAGGAAAGGACGCCGGCGAGTGTTCAGCCTGTCGGAGGCCGACAGTCACGGCGGCCACTGGGTTTAGTGCTCCGAACGGCAGCTGCCACGGCAACCCACGCACAGTCCATTCAGGCAGGTCTCCTCTGTTAGCCGCTCGGGCCGCGACGTCCGCTCCTCGCTGCGCTTCCACAGCCGGTAGGGTCTGCACCGGCAGGCGGGCCAGGCCTGCGCACAGTGGTGCGCCGAGTCAGCGCTTCCTCAGCTTCCCCCAGCCGCCCTGCCTGCTCCCTTGTGGCCTCATCTCATCTGAGACCAAACCCCCGGCCCCTGACCGACCCTCGGGTCAGTCCTCCCAGGCCAGGCCTGTGCGGGCGGGAGGCGAGACCCCCTGCCGAGTCCCCAGAGCCCCCCAGGTTAGGCCATGGGGGTGGGGCGGTGAGTGGCTGGCGAATTGGGAATTTGTAAAAGCGACCAAGTCATCTAGTTTCTTTTTTCTTTTCCTTTTTCCACCCCCCAGCTTCACTCAAAGTTAAGTGGCAAAAGCCATTTCCATTATAAACACCTCAGTGGAGGTGACCCCGTGGTCCCCCTTGCACACCGCAGGGCCCACACTGCCCATGCAGCGGCCGGGCTAGTCCAGGGCCACTGCCCAGCAGCCTGGCTTGCTGTCGGGGCCCCTCCGCCTCTTCCCTGACGCCTCTTCTGTGGCTTCTGACGCACCCCCTGCCTCGGCAGTTGCGCTTGTCAGCTGGGAGCCTTTCGCCTTCTGTTTTATTTAAAAGCTGTTTCCCCTGAGCTGTCCCCTCTGCTTGCCGCCCAGGTGCCCTTTCTCCCCGCATCCCCCAGCCCTGCCTCTCCCGGCCCAGCACAGCAAACCCCGGTTTGTACTGGAAACTCTCACTCACTTGACAGGGGTCAGTTGAGGACCAGCCCAAAGCGCAGATCAGCGTCCGAGGTGCTGGCCAGGCACGAGGGGCCCTGCCTCGAGGTCCTCGCAGGCCAGGGCTGCGGGGAGGCCCGTCCGCCGCTCACGGGAACGCGGCCGTCTCAGGTTTCCCACTCTGGCCTCCGCTCTGTCTCCCTGGCCCATGGCCAGGAGGTCAGACTTTTCTCCGAAACCCTCGTTTCCTGGGCCTGGTCCCAGCTTGTGACCTTAGAGCTCAAAACCACCAGCAGGCAGGCCACGCCAGAGGTCCACGAGTGACCTTTGCAGCTCAGCGCTCCGCCAAAAAAGTTTCCTCGCCGGGAAATGTCCCCAGGGTAGACACCTGGCAAGTTCTCCTTTTTCCCTCTTCCTTGCTTGGATAAATGTGCAGATCACATTCAGGAAGCAGTTCTTAGTGAAACAGCCACAGTGACAGCAAGACAATGCGGTAGGTGGTGGCTACGAAGAGGTTGCTTTTTTCCTTTTTTAAAGAAAAGAGGCTACTTTTAAGGGAAAAGCCAACCCTTTTAGTAAAAATTATTGGTTCTCTTCCTAAAGAGGAAACCAGTTTTGCACATGTGGTTTGTTTGTTAGTTGGTTTGCTCTTTTTAATATATTTGACTACGGCTTCTCCACACCCTTGAATATCCTCCTCGCCAAAACCCCCGTCAGGGAGCAGGGCGTGAGGCGTGCCAGCCTCTTTGTCCGCATGCAAATGCAGGCTTGAGCAAGGCGGGAAGCTTCCAGCGCACAGCTGAGAAAACGTGCAGGAAATGCTGCCGAGGAATTAGTCATTTCTGAACCCCTCGTGCACAGCCAAACATGCATGTGGATCCACCTGTGTGTGAGTCTGCAGGACGCTCCCGCCCGCCAGAGCAGGTGAGCCTGCCGGGAGCCCCACTCCAACAGGTCAGGACGGGAGCCTGGGCCGACACCAGCCCAGTGCACTGAGCGTCCCCACTGAGTGGAGCAAATGAGTTGAAATTCAGAGAAACCAGAATTCATCTGTGATGTTCACTCAGCACTTCTGGGCTCAGATCACACCTCAAATCACTTTTTCCACTGGTGGCTACGGGCGCCATCGCCCCTCCTACAGCGAGGACGGCCGGCAGCCCATGCAGCCTGCAGCGGTTTCCTCTGGAACTCTCTCTCTCTCTCTCTCTCTCTCTCTCTCTCTCTCCACAAAAGCCTTAGGAAGAAGTTAACTGGGACCTTTAGAGCTCGTTTTTCCCAGAGTCCTGTGGGAGAAGTGCCGAGTGTCCTCCGGGAGGGCCCGTCTCTGCCTGTGCCCTCCTTCCCTGGCGAGAGCCTCACCCCGCCCCGCATCCCATTCCGTGTGCTGTTTGCTTTTATTTTGCGCTTCGCTTTTCCGTTCTTTTACTCTATGTTCAGTTTTCTGTTCTGTTTCATTTTGGCCTAATTTAAAAGAAAAAAAAAATAACTGGAAGCACACCGAACAAAACAAGTCTGCCATTCTTCCCGGGACGCAGGGCACCCTAAAACCTGTTGCTCCGCACAGCGTGGTCCGCACCTTCTGCCCTGCCCGGGGCTGGCGGGTCCCCTGACCTGGACGGACAGGAGTTTGCTTTCCGAGCACGCCACACGCCGCCGCCTTGTGTTTTTACTTGGCTGGCGTCTGAAGTCCTGGGAGACGTTTTGCACCGTGAACTCCAGTTGCGTCTGGCGTTCTGTCCCGGCACACGCGTCCCTGGAAAGCAAATAGGCCATCATCTGGCTGTAGGACTTTGAAAAGCACCACGAAAAGAAATCGCCACTCCAAAAGTAACTGCGTCGGGTGGAACCTCACCTGCCTTCCCCCTGACGCGGTTTCTCCCCCTGGCCCCTGTGGGGGAACTCGCGATAGCGGTCATGCCCCTCGGGGGGTCCTAACTCGGAGCTTAGAGCAAGGGACAAATTGCAGACAAGGTTTTGTTTTGGTTTGAAAATTCCTTTTATTTATTTATTTATTTTTAAAATATTGCAATGAGTTCCACCTTGGGTAAAAGTCACCAAATGTAGACTCTGGAAATGGCCTGACGTTACAAGCACGCCCGAGCCCAAGTGCTTGCCATCGGGCAGATGGTCCATGACACGCCCACGCGTAAACCTGCCTCGCCCAGGTCTCTGCACCAGGAGCTGTGCTCTGTAATCCACACACTGACTTTGCGCAGGGCCCTAGTTTTCCCCAGGCCTAGTAAGACTGGATTTAGCAGCTCTGTGTCCCCAAAAGGAGTCAGTGGAGCCACCCTGTGTCCCCAGCCCCAGCCAGCCATCTCCCACCTAGCTTGCCCTGGGCCTCAGGACGGGAGCAGCGGGTGCGGCTCGAGCAGAGTAGCTCCAGGGCTCAAGGTATTTCTGTTTTTTCTCCCCCAACCCAGATGCCCCCACGATTCCAGAACAGCCTCAGCCTCGCCTTCCTGACCAGTTGGTGATTGTCAACGAAACAGAAGCAGACTCCAAGCCCAGCAAGACTGTGGCCAGGGGCGCAGCCCTGGAGACGGCCAGCCTGTCCCCCAGCCTGGTCCCCACCCCGCAGCCCACCCTCTCCCTGCTCTGCGAGGACACTGCCGACACACTGAGCGTCGAGTCGCTGACCCTCGTGCCCCCCGTTGACCCCTGCAGCCTCCACGCCCTCACCAGCATCCCCCCGCCGCCCGCAGTGCGCACAGAGCCCCTGGGCGAAGCCGCCGCGTGTGCAGAGCCCGCAGGCCCCGCCAGGCACTGAGTCGGCGCCGCGCCGGGGCCTCCCTTCAGTGCTCGCCCGCGGGCAGGGACCCAGTGCAGCCGGCGGGCGGGACACGTTGGGAGCAGCCCCAGCAGCCACCTTGACCACCTGGCCCTGCGCCCCCGCGTCCCAGGGAGACCGGGCTCCGCTTGAATCTTCTTTCAACGAGCGCCTCTTCAGGGACAGGCTGGGGCTGGCGGAGACACCCGGCCAGTGCGGGTGACGGCGCTGACCGCCGCAGGGAGGAGGGCGAGCTCCTTGTCTCTGAACCCGGGTGGCAGGACCCACTGGCGCCTCTCCCTTCAGGCCACTCCGCTGTCACCACCCCCAGCGTGCACCGAAGAATTGGACCAGGTCACTTTAGGGAGAAATTTGTAGAAAAGTGAACTTAGATGATCCATTTCCTTTGGCTATTTATTTCCGCTTTTGGCAGCAGATGCAAAGCATTTCTTTTAAAAGCATCTATTTTAGAAAAAAAGAGTCCAAAAAAATCCTCAATGCTAAGTGTTGATGTCATGTTAAACGTTTAATGATACCGTTAAGATTTCATTTTCACTTTCTCTTGACCTTCCCGATGCTTTCTTTTAGGGTTCTCAGTGTGGCTGTCTCCATTTATTTAAGTGATTCTTATTTCTCTGTCACTCAGCAACTCTGCGAGCCTGCGGAATGATAAAGTACCTTCCTGTAAAGTCTAGATTATTTTTTAAACAAAAATAAGGGAGATACGTGTATTCTCAGGTACACAGCTGAGAGGGCCGGAAGTTTCTCTCCTGTAGCAGCCGAGGGGCCTGTGTCACCGGCCAGAGACCTCTCCGTGGAAGGGGGACGAGCCAGCTCCCCACTCGGGATGCGTCCCCCTCTCTGTGCTCAGACCAGACCCGCTGGGCCCCAGCGCTGTCTTCAGTGTCGGCGTCTCTGTTTGTCTAAGAAAGGGCCGTTTGGGGCCGTGAAGACTCCAGACCCGGTGGCCGTGACGGAAGTTACAGAGAGCTGCCCGCTGCCCCGTGTGTGGGTGTCTGGGAGACACCCAGGTGTGCGTGACGCAGCGCCCAGGTGGCCCTTTCCGCCTGGCAGCGGGCACGGCCGAGCGACCCCTTGCCTCTCTGGTCGGGGGTGAGACCTCCACAACTCTCCCCCAGCGCGCCCGCAGGCGTGCCCGGCAGGAGTGTCAGCGCACGGGTGCGAGTGTCCACGGAAGCCTGGCGTTAGGGTGGCCCCAGGAGGTACCCCAAGATCTCACCATCCACCTGTTAGAGGAACGCGGTCCTCACCGCCCCTGCCAAACCAGCTGTCGCAGCAGGGCCCGCCAGGTCGGTTTCCAGCCTCATGAAGGAAGCCCAGTGGTCCACCAAGGAGGGCAGTGGCGCCCTGGGACAGGCTCTCCAGTCACCAGAAGCCCTGGGTGGCCGCGCCACCAGCTCCCACAGACACAGGCACAAGGACCTTTGGTTCGAGAGAGAAAAGACCCAGTTCCGCAAGGAGGCCACGTGGGCAGAGGTTCCAAGGAAGGACACGCCGTGACCATCTGCAGAGCCCCCGGGAGGTACGAAGGACGGGGCGGAGAAGGGCAGAGGGTCTGGGGAGAAGGGACCGTGTCATCGGGATCTGTCACCCTGCGCCCTGGCAGCGGCCTGTTGTGCTGGAGGGCGGAGCCTGTCCCGAGCCGGCTCGCCCAGAGCCACCCACTTCCGGTTTTGAGATGACTCCATCTTCAGGCCCAGACATGAGAGAGGCCGAGTGACTGGCCCACCCAGCAAGTGACACCACTCCGGTGGGCCCGGCCCTCGTGGACCGCCAGCCTGCCATCGGGAATCCCGGCACTCCAGCTGGCCTTGTTGTCCTGAGCGCTAAAGGAGACAGGTCTTGGGCATGGGGGAAGGCACCCTGGAAGGACTGTGCCCCTGGCCAAAGACAGGCCTGTCCCTCAAAAGGGCTCACAAGGCCACTCCCAGGAACCTCCTTCAGCAGGGGCTGGCACCTGCCTTGGGACACCCAGACGTGTAGGGTGGGGTCCCCCGTAACCAGGGGCTCCCTGGCACTCTGCCGTGCGGTGGAGGGACACACACCCCGTGGCAGGGGTCTGGGAGCCCAGAGGAGGCAGCCAGCCCTTTTGGCTCTACAGGACCCCACCTTGCCCAGGTCTTGGTTGACTTGGTGGCAGTGGGCACTGTGGTATCTTCAGGAGTACCCCGCCAACCTAACAATGGGGCGCTCCCAGACAGGCCTGTTGAGACAGGACACACTGGGTCTCTGGCATAGGATGGCAGGAGCCATGGCCTCTGACATGGAGGCCATCTGGAGTGAGCCTCCACGAGCCCTCCAGCCCGCCACCACTGAGTCCCTGCAGAAAGCACTTGCAGCCGGACCCTGCCCCCACCCCAAGTCCACACTGGCCCACGGGGCGTGCCGTGTCAGGCTGGCCACGTGGACCCCCACACCTTGGCTTTGAGAGGTGTCGTGGAGACATGCGCTCCCAGCAGGTCCAGCCAAGGAGGGGCCTGCGAACAGGCCAGCCCCCTGCACAGCGGGCCACCTCCTGGGACCCAGCACTGGCGTCAGCAAGTAATCCAGGGGCCGGGGGAGGGGACACCCTGAGAGACACCAGGACCTCTCTGAGCTGCGCTGTTCTTAAAGGCACAGGGTGAACTGACTTTGATCTTGTCTAGATGCAATAAATACGGAATATTTAATGTAGTCATGTTGATGTGGGCATAAACCTATGGCTCCTTATGTTCCTTTGAGCTAAGTATGTGAATTTTTGTCCCAGGGAGGGGAGGAGCCGGGCTAGGAGAGGCTTCTGCGCCTCGGGACGTGCTGGGGAAGTGCCTGCTTTCGCCAGCGTGACTCACGCCGCGTGGATGCCGAACACGAGGGTGGAGATGAAAACTGGAACTTCCTTGTAAATTTGAACTTGGCAATAAAAGAGAAAAGCATTACCAGGAACGTGGCGTGGTGCTCCTCGCGCCGTGGCCGGAGGCCGTGGCCTGGCAACGGGGAAGCCCCTCAGCAGCCTGGCCCCTCGGCCTGTCTCAGCCACGGGGAGCGGGCGGGGTGTGGCGGCTGGAGTCCCTCCCTGCTCCCGGGTCTCCTCCCCAGCCCCGCCCCACTCTCCTCCCTCGGGCTGCAGGTACCGAGGCTGGGTGCAACGCCCACTGGGGTGCCCCGCCGCCAGGCCTGGTGAGCCCGGTCCGAGGTCCGCATCCCTCACCTGTTGGGCACGTGGCTCCCCATCCCAGCCTCGAGCTCTGCGCCTGTGCAGTGGGACGGCCACAGCCCTGCGTCTCGGGACAAGCTCAGGGAGTGCCCGCGGTGTCACTGGGCCGAGGGGGGCAGAGTGGGGTGAGTGCTAGGGCGAGCGCAACTCAGAATCATGCCAGCGTGCGCCAGCGTGAACCCTGGGGGGCCTGGAAGCCGGACCACAGGCTCTCAAACGCTTCTGACGGGAGCTTCTGGGCCTTGCAGCAAACCCGAGCTGAGTGTAAAGAACAGACAGGGCGCCCTGCCTCGTGCCAGGGCTGCGGCGATGCCCGGGGAGGGAGGGAGCCCGCCCTGCCCCCGCCCCAGCCTCGCGCTGGCGGCCGCACGGCCCCCTCCCCACCAGCCCGGGTTTATCCCAGGCCAGTTCCTGGACGTCTGACAGAGGAGCCGGGCCTGCGCAGGCCCTGGGGCCCCTGGGGCTGGGCCGGATCCCGCCGTGCGCCAGGGCCTGGTCCCCGCAGGCCGTGCCCGCTGGGTCTGGCTGCTGGCCCCGGGCATCCCCGCAGCTGGCCCCGGGCATCCCCGCAGCTGCCCCGCTTCGTGGGCACGTGGGCATGCACACATCTCCACTTCGGTCTGAAGGAAGGAGCTTGCTGGGAGGATGCCCGGGGAGAAGGTGGAAGATGGCCTCCGGTGGACAGGACCGGGGACAGCACAGCGGCTGCTGTGGGCTCAGCCACCTCCCTCCACCCAGGGGTCCACGCCACGGGCCAGGCCCTGGGGTCGGGGGACAGGTGCAGGGAAGGAGGGGTGGGGGCAGCATCTGCTTCACACAGATGAGGAAACTGAGGCCCGGGGGCTCAGCGCCTTCCCGTGGAGCCCGAGTGAAGCGAGCCTGCCTGCTCCTGCCTCGTGCTCGTCTGAAACCCAGATCGCTGATTCTGACGTCCCGGCGCTGTTGGCAGCAGGATGGAGGCACAACAGGTGCGAAGGGGTGTTGGAACCATCTGGGACACGCCCCACCCCAGGCCTAGCCAGTGGGACCTGAGGCCATGCTGGCTGAGGTCCTTGTGCATGGCCCTGGGCTCACGGCCGGTGCCCAGGAGAAGTGGCTCTTCCCCTTTTCTTCAGGAGGCAGAGTCTGGAGCCGCCTTGGCCGGGTCCCCTCTCTGAACTCGGTTTGCTCCTCTGTGAAGTGAGGACAGCACAGCCAGCACCTGTCCCAGGGGTCAGAGGGTAGCACAGGCTCAGGGCAGGGGGCGTGCGGGCGGGCTGAGGGCTGGCCGTGGGACAGCTGGAAAGCAGCCACCGCCTGCAGCCTGTTTGGAGGCCTCTACAGGTCTCCGCTCTTCCCGATGGTGTTTGTGCCCCCTCCCCCCAGCGGCTAGAAGTGACCCGCTGTGGCTCAGCCACTGTCAGGGGTTCCCCAAGGCCTAGAAGGGGTCCCACTGAGGCCTGGAGGGAGGGACCGGGGAGGGCAGGCAGCGCTCCCTGCCCTCCAGTGACCTAGCACCGGCGCTCAAGGGGAAGACCAGTCCCCGGCCAGCAGCTGCTGGAAGTCCCCTTCCCCTCCTGTCCTGCTTCTCCGTGGCCCATCGGGGAGGGGGAAAAACCCTCGGCGTCTAAAGTGCTTTTCTCCAAACTCAGGTCTGTTCTGAATCACCAAGCTGGGCACGCGGGCTTCTGGGCACGCGCCCGGGGGTGGCCAAGGGCAGCCCCTCTGTCCTCCGCAGGCCACGGGCCCCAGGCCCTGCTCTGCCCACGCGCCCCCCGCCTGTGCCACAGCAGCACCTGCCCCCGGGAACCGGCCACCACGAGCTCGCCCCTCAGCACCCAGCCTGCCCCAAGTCTCTCCTCCCCGCCACGTGCCAGCGAGCCCCGCCTGCTTCCCCTGAGAGCAGCTGTGTGTGCCCAAACACTCAGGCCTCACTCCCTGACTGTCACTTCCCTGACCTTGAGGCCTGCCATTTAAAATTCAGTTTATTCGAGAGGAAGTCTTTACTCTGGAAAGAGAAACCCAGAGCAGCTTAAAACAACAGATACTTACTCTTTCTCAGCTCCGGAGGCCACAATTCCAAAATCAAGGGCTCATGATCCAGCTGTCCTGGCTTTAAAAAAAAAAAAAAGAAATCAAGGGCCAGCAGGGCGGGTCCTCCTAGGGCTGGGGGAGGTCGGGGCCCCGCCCCTCCCGGCTGCAGTCTCCACCTCCGGCCACGTGCTCTCCGTCTCTGCCTCAGGTCGCCTCTCCTTTCTCCGCAGGGACAGCAGCCATGGGAGTTAGGGCCCACCCTGCTCAAGCGTGACCCTATCTCAGGACCCTTAACTTCGTCACACCTGCAAAGACCCTGTTTCCAAATACGGCCACATTCCCAGGTCCCAGGGCTTAGGACAGGGACATATCCTTTTAGGGGGGAAATCGCCATTCACACCATCATGCTTGCCAAAATTAAAGATACCATAAAAACCAATGCAATAAAAGCAAATCCATGTAACATTTTTCTTTTCTTTTCTTTTTTTTTTCTTTTTTGAGACAGGATCTTGCTGTCATCCAGGCCAATGTTCAGTGGCGTCATCATAGCTCACAGCAGCCTCCAACTGGTGGGCTCAAGCGATCCCCCTGCCCCAGCCTCCCGAGTGGGACTGCGGGCACGCGCTATGACACCCAGCTAAATAACACTAAGTCCTAGCCATGGCCGCTACCTGCCACACACCGCGCCGGGCCTGCCCCCCTCTGTGAAAGGGGAGGCCCGTTAGCACCTAACCACCTTCTGTAACAGGATCAGAAGGCCGGGAGGACTGAGAGAAAGGAGCCAGCTCGCTCCGGCCGAGGTCAGTTAGGTCTGTGTTCTTGTACCCCTAAGAGTCGTCTCGAGAGCACCAGGTGGGAGATGCTGTCGTGGCACATGCAGGCCACAGGCCACGGCGTGTTGTGAACTGGGCCATTTATTCTCAGTCCTCTTCTCCAACAGACTCGGCCCCCAGCAGGGACCGCGTCTGGCTGGCCCCAGTCTCCCAGGGGCCGGCTCGGGGTCTGGCCGTGGGCTCTCTGTGCGTGTCCGTGGGGTACGGCCCCAAACTCCCACAGCCCGAATTCCATCAGCGTCTCCACGCCCTGGTCCTGGCCTTCCGCCCGCCCTGCCTGTGCTCACAGGGCAGGACTGTTCGAGGGCTTTCCTTCGCCACCGTCGGAAACTCCATGGCCCCTGAGCCTCCCCAGGTGTCCTAGCTGCATCTGGTATCCCAGCGTCCGATGAAACCTCCTGCAGGACGGAGTGGCGGCAGCGCCGGCTTTGGCGCCCGCTGGCTGGCGGGGGTCGGGTGCCTGCGCTGACGCTCCCGATCCCTGTGGCCTTGAGCACGTGGTTAAAGCCTCACCAGCCTCCCTTCCTCGTCTGTAAAATGGGAACCTCCCTGTCAGTGTCCTTGCTTGTGTAGATGGAGTGGGGGCAGGCAAATCAAGCACTCAGCTGGGGATGGGGGTTCTCACTGATCACAGAGGGGCTTCAAAAAGTGCCTGCTGCCCAGGCACCCCCAGACACACGGAGCCAGCATCTGTGGGGTGTGGCTGGGCCCTGGAATTTTTTTAAGTCCCCAAGTGATTTTGAAGGGCAGCTGTGATGGTTCACTTCATGTGTCAACTTGACTGGGCTAAGGGGTGCCCAGGTAGCTGGCAAACCATTATTTCTGGGCGTGGCTGTGACAGTGTTTCTGGGAGAGACTGGCATTTGAATCAGGAGCCTGCGTAGAGAAGTTCACCCTCCCCAGCGTGGGCTTCCGTCACTCAACCCACGGAGGGCCTGAATGGAACATGGGGGAGGAGGAGGAGGGCAAACTCGTTCCCTCTGCGTGATCCAGGACAGGCGTCTCCTCCCGCACTCAGACCTCGGTGCTCCTGGTTCTCAGGCCTCCAGGCTGGGACTGAAGCAACACCGCCAGCTTTCCTGGTCTTCCAGGGTGCAGATGGCAGATTGTGGGACTTCTTAGCCCATTCCCATAATAAGTCTCTGTCCATCTATCTGTCTACCGCCTGTTGGTTCCGATTCTCTGAAGAATCCTGCCTGACGCAGCAGCTGAGGTGAGACACAGGCCTGGCCACTCCCCACCCCCTGCTGTGGCACAAATGCCCCAGCCCTGTCCAGGGAGACCCCAGCTCATTCCCACCCCAGGGCCTTGGCACTTGCCCTTCTGCCCCCGAGCACCCCCCGCCCCTGGAAAAATGGTATTTCCTGTAAGCTCACCATCCGGGGACAACCCTTGTTGACACCCTAGCTTATTTCTTTCCAGTCTTTCTGTCTGCATTTTAGCTGTTGAAATAATGCAGAGGATGTCGTTTCAAGTCCCGCTTCTGACACTCGGCCTCCCAGGCCCAGCGTTGCCCCGTGTTGCCATAAACTCTGTTTCTAAAGAGCGTTACGTGTTCTGTGGCAGGTCCGCGTCCCCCCGGCTGGCTACCAGCCCTCTCAGACCATCCACATTTTATACCATCTCCACATAAAAGGTTCCGAGCATGGGAATTACCCGACTGTAGAAATATAAACCATTTTAAGGGTCTGGATACAATCTGCCAAATTGCTCTCCGAAAATATCAGGCCACCGAGCACGTGCGCATCTCACCGCAGCCTCCCCACACCGGACGTCAGCAGTTCTTAAATCCTTCCCAATGTACAGCCCAGCTTAAAGCTCGCCTCCTCTGTGAAGCCTCCTCGGATTTGCCTTCTCTGTCCTGGACATTCCTAGG